AATGTACGCTCTACACTAAAATTTACTTAACTTACGTACTGTCTACATTAACATTGACTAAACTTACGTACGCTCTGCCATAACATTTACTAAACTTACGTACGCTCTACAATAATATTGACCAACCTTTCATACTCTCTACATAAACATTGACTAACCTTACATACTCCCTACATTTACATTGACTCACCTTACATACTCCCTACATAAAGATTGACTAAACTTACGTACGCTCTACATTAACATTTACTAACCTTACATACTCCCTACATTTACATTGACTCACCTTACATACTCCCTACATTAACATTGACTAAACTTACGTACGCTCTACATTAACATTGACTAATCTTACGTACGCTCTACACTAAAATTTACTTAACTTACGTACTGTCTACATTAACATTGACTAAACTTACGTACGCTCTACATTAACATTGACTAATCTTACGTACGCTCTACACTAAAATTTACTTAACTTACGTACTGTCTACATTAACATTGACTAAACTTACGTACGCTCTACATTAACATTGACTAATCTTACGTACGCTCTACACTAAAATTTACTTAACTTACGTACTGTCTACATTAACATTGACTAAACTTACGTACGCTCTACATTAACATTTACTAATCTTACGTACGCTCTACACTAAAATTTACTTAACTTACGTACTGTCTACATTAACATTGACTAATCTTACGTACGCTCTGCATTAACATTTACTAAACTTACGTACGCTCTACACTAAAATTTACTTACCTTACGTACTGTCTACATTTACATTGACTAATCTTCCGTACGCTCTGCATTAACATTTACTAAACTTACGTACGCTCTACACTAAAATTTACTTACCTTACGTACTGTCTACATTTACATTGACTAATCTTACGTACGCTCTGCATTAACATTTACTAATCTTACGTACGCTCTACACTAAAATTTACTTAACTTACGTACTGTCTACATTAACATTGACTAAACTACGTACGCTCTACATTAACATTGACTAATCTTACGTACGCTCTACATTAAGATTGACTAAACTTACCTCTACATTAAAATTTACTTAACTTACATACTCCTTACATTAACATTTATAAGTGAAATAAATGTTAATACGAACCTTCACAATCGACTGGGTGGCACGATCAGACCAGAATGCATTCTCTCCAAAAATTGCTACACTTCTGGGCTCGGAGATGAAATTCTGTTGATGTAGTCCATTTCGGAGTCTACTCTTCACCATTAACCGGAAGAAGGTTCCATCATAACTGATCGATTGCACGGACTCCGACCTGTAAGTAAAATTATATACTGACAATGTAACACTGGATCCTGTAAGGACAATTATATACTGACAACGTAACACTGGATCCTGTAAGTACAATTATATACTGACAATGTAACACTGGATCCTGTAAGTACAATTATATACTGACAATGTAACACTGGATCCTGTAAGTTCAATTATATGTAAGTACAATTATATACTGACAATGTAACACTGGATCCTGTAAGTACAATTATATACTGACAATGTAACACTGGATCCTGCAAGTACAATTATATACTGACAATGTAACACTGGATCCGGTAAGTACAATTATATACTGACAATGTAATATGGATCCTGTAAGAACAATTATATACTGACAATGTAACACTGGATCCTGTAAGTACAATTATAAACTCATACCGACAATGTAACACTGGATCCTGTAAGTACAATTATATACTCATACCGACAATGTAACATTGGAACCTGTAAGTACAATTATATACTGACAATGTTACACTGGATCCGGTAAGTACAATTATATACTGACAATGTAACACTGGATCCTGTAAGTACAATTATATACTGACAATGTAACACTGGATCCTGTAAGTACAATTATATACTGACAATGTAACACTGGATCCTGTAAGTACAATTATATACTGACAATGTAACACTGGATCCTGTAAGTACAATTATATACTGACAATGTAACACTGGATCCTGTAAGTACAATTATATACTGACAATGTAACACTGGATCCTGTAAGTACAATTATATACTGACAATGTAACACTGGATCCTGTAAGTACAATTATATACTGACAATGTAACACTGGATCCTGTAAGTACAATTATATACTGACAATGTAACACTGGATCCTGTAAGTACAATTATATACTGACAATGTAACACTGGATCCTGTAAGTACAATTATATACTGACAATGTAACACTGGATCCTGTAAGTACAATTATATACTGACAATGTAACACTGGATCCTGTAAGTACAATTATATACTGACAATGTAACACTGGATCCTGTAAGTACAATTATATACTGACAATGTAACACTGGATCCTGTAAGTACAATTATATACTGACAATGTAACACTGGATCCTGTAAGTACAATTATATACTGACAATGTAACACTGGATCCTGTAAGTACAATTATATACTGACAATGTAACACTGGATCCTGTAAGTACAATTATATACTGACAATGTAACACTGGATCCTGTAAGTACAATTATATACTGACAATGTAACACTGGATCCTGTAAGTACAATTATATACTGACAATGTAACACTGGATCCTGTAAGTACAATTATATACTGACAATGTAACACTGGATCCTGTAAGTACAATTATATACTGACAATGTAACACTGGATCCTGTAAGTACAATTATATACTGACAATGTAACACTGGATCCTGTAAGTACAATTATATACTGACAATGTAACACTGGATCCTGTAAGTACAATTATATACTGACAATGTAAAACTGGATCCTGTAAGTACAATTATATACTGACAATGTAACACTGGATCCTGTAAGTACAATTATATTCTCATACCGACAATGTAACACTGGATCCTGTAAGTACAATTGACTCAGCATATTTGTGTGTTGTAGTCAGTTAAGCGGGGTTTTGCTTGACATTTTGTCATTTATACTTATTGGTGGTTTTTTTTACCGAACGTAGGATGTTGGTTTCTTGATGTTCCGTTTTACCTCAATGTGAGTTATGTATGTTTATGCATACTAGATACGACAAATACAATCGGGGCTACAACCGCGTCAGCATCATCATCCATGAACACTTAATATGTGTTTTGTTAAAATAAAAGTTAAATGCAATCTTTTGATGGATGTTTTCATGTATCTATGCGACTGACTATACTGAACAGTGCCATGCGTACCACAAAGGTTGGAGCAGCAATTACAAATTGCATATACATTTTCAGTTTGAGTATATACAGTGTCAGTATGAGTATATACATTTTCAGTATGAGTATATACATTGTCAGTGTGAGTATAGATATTGTCAGTTTGAGTATATAAATTGTCAGTATGAGTATATACAGTGTCAGTATGTGTATATACAGTGTCAGTATGTGTATATATACATTGTCAGTATGTATATATACATTGTAGGTATGAGTATATACATTGTCAGTATGAATATATACAGTGTTAGTATGAGTATATACATTGTCAGTATGAGTATATACATTGTCAGTATGAGTATATACATTGTCAGTATGTGTATATACATTGTCAGTATGTATATATACAATGTCAGTATGTGTATATACATTGTCAGTATGTATATATACATTGTCAGTATGTGTATATACATTGTCAGTATGTGTATATACAGTGTCAGTATGAATATATACATTGTCAGTATGTGTATATACAGTGTTAGTATGAGTATATACATTGTCAGTATGAATATATATACATTGTCAGTATGTGTATATACAGTGTTAGTATGTGTATATACAGTGTCAGTATGTGTATATACATTGTCAGTATGTGTATATACAGCGTCAGTATGAATATATACATTGTCAGTATGTGTATATACAGTGTTAGTATGAGTATATACATTGTCAGTATGAATATATACATTGTCAGTATGTGTATATACAGTGTTAGTATGTGTATATACAGTGTCAGTATGTGTATATACATTGTCAGTTTGTGTATATACAGTGTCAGTATGAATATATACATTGTCAGTATGTGTATATACAGTGTTAGTATGAGTATATACATTGTCAGTATGAATATATACATTGTCAGTATGTGTATATACAGTGTTAGTATGTGTATATACAGTGTCAGTATGTGTATATACATTGTCAGTATGTGTATATACAGTGTCAGTATGAATATATACATTGTCAGTATGTGTATATACAGTGTTAGTATGAGTATATACATTGTCAGTATGAGTATATACATTGTCAGTATGTGTATATACAGTGTTAGTTTGTGTATATACAGTGTCAGTTTGTGTATATACAGTGTCAGTATGAATATATACATTGTCAGTATGTGTATATACAGTGTCAGTATGAATATATACAGTGTTAGTATGTGTATATACAGTGTCAGTATGTGTATATACATTGTCAGTATGTGTATAAGCCTTAACAAGTAAAACCTTCCAATCCTTTATCAGTAAAATCTACCAATCATATATGAGTACATTTTACCAATCATTTACCAGTTCAAACTAATAACCTTATATCATTATAGTCTACCAATTCTATATCAGTACAATTTACCAATCATTTACCAGTACAATTTAACAAACTTATATCATTATAGTCTATCTATCCTATATCAGTACAATTTACCAATCATTTACCAGTACAAACTAACAACCTTATATCTGTAAAATTTACCAATCCTATATCAGTACATTTTACCAATCATTTACCAGTACAAACTAACAACCTTATATCATTATAGTCTACCTATCCTATATCGGTACAATTTAACAATAATTTACCAGTACAAACTAACAACCTTATATCATTATAGTCTATCAATCCTATATCAGTACATTTTACCAATCATTTACTAGTACAAACTAACAACCTTATATAATTATAGTCTACCAATCCTATATCAGTACAATTTACCAATCATTTACCAGTAAAAACTAACAACCTTATATCAGTAAAATCTACCAATCCTATATCAGTACATTTTACCAATCATTTACCAGTACAAACTAACAACCTTATATCATTATAGTCTACCAATCCTATATCAGTACAATTTAACAATCATTTACCAGTACAAACTACAAATCTAATATCATTGCATTCTACCAATCCTATGTATGTACAATCTACCAACCCTTTACAAGTACAATCTAGCCATCCTTTACCAATCCTTTTTACCAATCCTATAGAAGTTTAATCTATCAATCCTGTACCAGTACAATCTACCAATCCTATGTATGCACAATCTACCAATCCTATACCAGTGAATTTTAATAATCTTATACCAGTTCAATCTACAAATCCTATATCATTACAAACTATCAGTCATATAACAGTACATTCTACCAATCTTTTAACAGTACAATCTACCAATCCTTTACAAGTTCTATCTACTCATTCTTTACCAGTACATTCTGCCATTGTTATATCACTACAATCTACCAATCCTTTACCAGTATAATCTACTAATCCTTTACCAGTACATTCTACCAATGTTATATCAGTACATTCTATAAATCATTTACCAGTATGATCTACTAATCCTATACCAGTACAATTTACCAATCATTTATCTGTGCATTATTCCAATCATATACCAGTACAATTTACCAATCATTTACCAGTAAAATTTACCAATCCTTTACCTGTACATTCTATCAATGTCATATCACTATAATCTACCAATTCTCTACCAGTACAATCTACCAATCCTGTACCAGTACAATCTACCAAACCTATACTAGTACTATATACCAAGGTTATATCATAACAATCTACCAATCCTTTACCAGTACATTCTACCAATGTTTTATCATTACAATCTACCAATCCTTGACCAGTATAATCTTGAGTGAAATGGCCACCCAAAGGGTGACATTATATTTATTATACTGATTAAGCCACCATGTGTCTTCTATCAACAACTTAAGATTATATAAAATGGTTGCAAATATACCAAACATGGTAGCAACTACAATCAAAATATAAATAAAAATCTTAGCTAGCCTAAGTGGGGTTGCCAAAAAACGCAAAACGCCGAAGATGAGGTTGCCAAACCCATCTTTACATTATTTACTGCGAGCCGGCTGCCCCAACCCTGTCAATTAGGGGAGGTAGGTTTACCCAATGTTATGACCAGTCGGCAAGTGTTGTCTCACCTAACATAAACTAGCAACAACCTGCCAGGTTACAAATTATACATGTTACAATAAAAAAAACCACAAAAAACGCCAACGCCATCTTAGCTAGCCTTATTGA